GGATCAGGTGTTGCTGTTACTCCCCTCAGAGGAGTCAAAATTGCTGGCCCGCTGGCAGGGGCCGTATGAGGTCTCCCGACGAGTGGGCCCGGTTACCTATGAAATTCATCAGCCAGACCGGCGAAGGAAAAACCAAATCTACCACGTGAACCTCCTCAAACCTTGGCGAGGGCGAGAAGGCATGTTGGTTGCGCCCTACCCGTCGGAGCCCGTGTTAGGTCCTAGGGTCCCTGACGCCAAGGAGGAGGAGATACCCCAGCTCGCGGACACCCTGTCTAAGGACCAACGGCGTGTAGCCCAGGTGCTCATCGAAACGTTCACCAGGACCTTTACTTCGCGTCCGGGCCGAACCTCGGTGATAACGCACACCATCCGAACCCCGCCCGGACAGGTTGTTCGCGAGGGAAACCGACCTCTTCCCCGACGGATGCGCGACGTCGTGGAACAGGAGGTTCGCACCATGTTGGAGCTGGGAGTGATCGAGCGATCCCGAAGTGAGTGGAGGAGCCCAGTCGTGTTGGTCCCTAAGCCAGATGGAAGCATTAGGTTTTGCATCGACTTTCGAAAGGTGAACGCGATATCGAAGTTTGACGCCTATCCGATGCCCCGGACGGATGAACTGCTGGAGCGCCTGGGAAAAGCCAAGTTCATAACAACCCTCGACCTGACCAAGGGCTATTGGCAGATCCCGCTGGATCGGGAGTCCCAGGAGAAGACAGCTTTCACCACCCCGTCCGGGCTCTTCCACTTCGTGCGCATGCCATTCGGCCTCCATGGGGCACCCGCCACCTTTCAGCGGATGATGGATCGCCTGCTCGCCCCTCATCTGGAATATGCCGCAGCTTACCTGGATGACGTGGTCATCTATGGTCGCGACTGGGAGGACCACATAAACCAAGTGGCGGCCGTGTTACGGACGCTCCGCGACGCTGGTCTCACGGCCAACCCCAAAAAGTGTAAAATAGGTGGTCTCTTGCGCGCCGATCTGGGGTATCGTTTGGGGCGTGGGCTAGTCCGGCCCCTGGTGGGGAAGGTAGAGGCCATACGAAGTTACCCCACACCGACCACGAAAAGGAAGGTCCGACAATTTCTGGGACTGGCGGGGTATTACCGCCGATTTGTTCCCCAATTTGCTAGCATAGCGGCGCCGCTCACCTCTCTGCTCACAAAGGACAAACCTCAGAGAGTGAGGTGGGACACAGAGTGTGACTCGGCCTTTCAACAACTTAAAGAAGTCCTGTGTAGCGAGCCCGTTTTGCTTAGCCCAGACTTCGATAAACCTTTTTGTCTACAGACAGACGCCTCCGCCACTGGGCTGGGCGCCGTACTCTCCCAGGTGTGCTTTGGAGAAGAGCATCCGGTGGTTTTTATCAGCCGTAAGCTGTTTCCCCGAGAACGCCAGTACTCCGTAATAGAAAGAGAGGCCCTGGCGATCAAATGGGCGGTTGAAGCCCTAAGGTACTACCTGCTAGGGGGGGAGTTTACGCTATGGACAGACCATGCCCCGCTAAAGTGGCTACACACTATGCGGGACACCAATAGCCGCCTCATGAGGTGGTATTTAGCCCTTCAACCCTATGTGTTCTCCATACGCCACAGGGCAGGCAAGGCCAACGCCAATGCGGACGCATTGTCCCGCCTGGCCGAGGAGCCGGGATCCAATCCCGAGGTGGGGGACCTGGACTTGTGGGGGAGGGCAAGTAGCAGGGCGGACTGGCCGCCCACTGACCCAGAGGAGGAGGAACCCCTCAGGACACTGGGGTGGGTGGAGACGGACCCCACCCCGTCACCTGGCCGGAACCCAGAGGGTGGGGCGGGGAGGATAAGAAGACGGCGGGAGAGGGCAGTCAGGGCCCAGCCGCTGGGGGGGCTGGAGGC